AAATAGTGTGTGAGGCACACCGGCGCGGTGCGCTGATGGCCCCTTAACGCTGAGGGCATAGGTCTCTTCTGGTTTTCGAAATGGGTCTTTTGCTGGCTCCTGAGAATGACCCTGCCTGACCTGTAACAGATACTCCTCCTGGCCTTCAAGGAAGACCTTACTGTTATAGGTCCCCTCTGGACACTCACACTGAACAGATGGAGCTGAATGGGATTCCAGGGCTGACCTGGCCAGCGCCGCTGCTAATAACCCCAATATGCCCGCGCAGAATTTGGAGGCAAGGCCCAACCTCACATTCTCCGGTATCCAACAGTTGCAGGAACGAGTGTGTGTCTCTCTCTCTTACTCACCATGACGTGGCAGCACGTGCTCTGTTCTTTAGCCATCGTTTTTCCTTCTTTCTGTAGGACAGTCTAATAATATCGCTGAACTAAACTGACGAGACTCAACTGCCAACTCGCCCCACGTAAGGAACGGCGAACAGATGTAACTAAACTTACAGATAAAATAAATCTTCGTGTTTTTACGACATCGTAGTTCCCCGACCTCAAAGTCTACTGGGCCCTGGAGGCATCATTGTACATGGTGTCAGCCTCGCGTAATGCACGCTGCTTTAAGGCTATGCTACTTTTTATCGGTCCTAAGGTCTGAGCTCCATTTGCTGCTTCAGTGCGATAAAGCCATTCAGAAAGCTTGCGGTTCTCCGTATTTAGCAACTTCCATGAAAAAAGGGGTTTGCAATGCCTCATCACGGGCACCTTTGACGCCGGTTGCTACAGAGAACGCAAGACCCCGGCACACTCAAACTCATAATTGCAGGAGCGCAGTGACTCAACCTCCGTCATCAAACAAAAGAAACCATACCCGCTGGAGAGTGAGTCCCGGTAACCGGAGGTCACCTCACCATAGGTCTGCCCATCCCCTTTCCCCTCACAAAAATAACGGGTACACCACTAAGATATTAATTACGCCACGAAAATGTAGTAACCGCGTATCTTCCCATGAAAGGACGGTGAAGGTGGGAGGCACCACGCATTTTTATGCAGTCCGTTTCCTGGCAACACCATACGTCAGCTGTCCAGTTTGTTCGGAGATGGAATAAGCCGTTGCCCCTCCCCATCCCCACCACAACACCCGCCATCACCACTCCGCTTCCATCCTCTCCGCAACGACGTCATTGCCATGTCCAGTGTAAACATTTGGGGTCCAATGACGTCATTTGCAGACGCCTCAGACGCTGGTTGGATGCACAAATGCATCAAAGTTTATTCCTGGGCGACGAGATCTCTGGCGTTCTTAACTTCACAATGTATACAAAGTTAACTGCTGGCTATAAACCATCGTGCGGAGTGCTTCAAGTAAACGGTAACTCAGTCGTATGCCGCTGCACACGCGGCGCACCCAAATGTTGTTAGGACTCAGACTGTTCCCTAAAACAGTCGTTGGAACTCCAAAGAAGTTTGGAAACGGTCCAACGGTAAGTCGAGCTTTCTGATCGTCCCAGGCATGCTTAGCAGTCCTATGTAACATATTTTAAGTTTAAGCATGCCGGTGATCACTGTAGTGACAAATCTAGAAAATAATAGGACGCACACTGCCGATCCCATGTCACTAGCAACGGTCTTAGGTAGTCACTGTGCACTCTTGGTATTAATCAAACTTAAATTCCGCGGCAGGTTTACGGCATTAAGATCAAATGCAAAACCAGATCATGAAGGATGTATTTGCACAGACCTATCGGAAATACTACAGTCTTGAAAATTACAGCAATCTAAAATCACATCGGAAATATCATCAGCGCCAGGACGCAGGCATCATGTTTATGTCAAGGGCACCGTTCCTTTCCTAACACTGTTAGTATTTGATGATACTACGTGTATCCTTAAACAAACAAGGACACAACCAATGAATACAGCATTAACATATGCTCACCGAATCAAATTTATACCTAGAGTTTTGCGCTGCAAAGACTGAGGTTAGCTGTGTACATTAATTTTTATATGCCCAGAGCAGCTAGCACATATATCAGAGACGTGGTGTACGTTATTGTTATTCCATGTCGCGCCGACTGCTGATGCCATTTTGCACCCGAACTAAGTGTTGAAAGGATGCGCGTGTCTCCTGACATATCATCAACTTTGCACCCGAACTAAGTGCTGAAAGGATGTGCGCGTCTCCTGACATATCAACTTTGCACCCGAACTAAGTGCTGAAAGGATGTGCGTGTTTCCTGACATATCATCCATGTTTCAGTTGCTCATACCACCGGGGCTGTCCCCATAAGTCATGAGGTTTGAGGCTAAAACCTCGGCCCTCCTTTGAGGTGGACTGAAAACTTCTATAAAACACGGGGCTGGAAAATAATCACAGAAGGGGATTGCACTGTTTCGGAACAGCAGCCCATTACTGCCGAAGGTTGCTCAGTTCAAGATTACTGTCCACTGAAACCAGTTGGGCATAAATAGCTTCAAACAAAACTGCAAGAAAACTGAATTTCTTTTAAGCGAATTGCTCGGTACGAGATATTCTAAATTTTACAACTCGTAATGTTCGTGTACAGTGTTATCAGTCCGGATAGCAGGCGAAACTAGTCGGTGCCCGTACACGCATGCGGGTGTGCCTAACGTTGTTAACGAAAACCAGGAAAAAGCATGATACGCCTGGCATACATTTAAATTAAGTAGTTGCCGTACACAATACATTCGTTTGAGTGGACTTCATACTCACCAATCTATTTTTTACTGGCTCAAAATAATTAAGCTCCATGCAGACCTGACTGAGAGACAGAGAGAGAGCTGACCTGACTGAACCGAGTTTAACAGGCATGCCAAGTGTGCCAAATTCGTCAACTTCCTTGATTCCTTCAGCCTGTCAGAAATCCCCTACCAACGTGAGTCAGGGTGGGACACTCTCTTTGCATTTGGTTCACACATGGAAGATGGGAGAGCATGTTCACAAATCAGGCGTTGGTCATGTTAATGAAGATACGCAAGTTTCACGCAGCACGATCCGTGGCTGCTAACTAGCACACTGGGATGAAGCTCAAATATTTGCGTCGTGCTGAGTGGCCCAGACACGTGCCTCGTTCCCGAGGTTTCCACCGAGAACCGGTTTCTCGTTCCTGGTTCCGTAACTAGGGAGAAGCCAGGAGCCAGTGTGTCATTATACTGAGGGAACCGGTGGAACCAGCAGGTAGCAGTGCCCGTGCTCATAATGCACTGAACGGTCAAGCAAGAGCCAGGATCCAGCCTCAGCTTAAGCCAAAAGATTCACCAGAACCAAGATTCAGTCTAAAACATGCAGGGATCCTGAAAAAACCAAGATGTAGCTCAGGATTGTGCAGTAAGGTATTTCTCAGATCCACATTTTTTAAAACAATTAGGAGGCTCTGGTGGCAGATGACTGAACCTAGTCTCCAAGATGTATAAACATATGTACAGCTCATTAGATTTGGCTCACTTTTTAAAGTTGGGATGGCTGGGGACACCCACCTAAATGCAAAACTACACCATTGGTGTTCCTTACAGCTGATAAATGAATGGAAACTAGGTGCCCTGACCATTTCGGAAAACAGTCACAAATTTCAGTGATTCTGGTTTGCTGGAGCCATGCCGCAATGCAATCTTGCCAAAAATCTGCAAAACCTCACAGAATGAAACATGCAGAATGCACTCATGCAAATTCGGCCATTCTCTACATGCAAGTCATCTAGTATCCATGGTTGCAAACATCTCCTTTTGGCACCTGCAACGTCAGCTTTGTTTCAACTGTCAGTTGGTCATTCAACTGGTTCGTCAGCTGGTTATGGTCCTTATCATGTCTTTGGACTTGGAAAGTTGCTGCTCTGACATATTAATCTCAAACTGATTGGAATAGGCCGAACCAGCCACATTAACCATGTGCGCAGCCAATGAGTTACCCCAGTGGATGACCTTTGCCAACTGGTGTTTTTTTCGGACAACCATTTTAGAGACAACTAATACACAGATAAAGATATCAGCACAAAAACTATAAATACTTTAGTATATGCATGAACCGTAAAGTATGATGATCTGCAAAGGTAATGAGCCTGCCGTTGTTGCAGCATTGTCAGTTGACCTTGCCCCTTGCCACCAAACGGGTTGTTCTTAAAACGCAGCTATGGGCACGCAATTATTTGCAGTTATCAACACGGGCACCATTTGATGGAAGCTTGCAAGTTGGCAGCCGAGGAGGACGTAAACCCAAAAAAAGACATATCCTAGCCCCACGCTTGCCGCATTTACACGGCAGTCAAACTTCGTCCGCTTAATTATTAATTTTCATGCACCTAATTGGCCTAACCTAAAAGATTAGTATATTGCTGACGGCAATTTGCGCTGAAATGAGCAATACTGGTTTGTACACCTGCGGAAGGTATGCAGAATCACCTAACTTACGCTTAGAAAAAGACAAAAATAGGACAGGATTATAAATGACACAATGCGCAAGGCAGATTAGCTGGAGATCCGTTTCTTGTTTAACAAAACCACTTTCCAAACATCCAAAGAACTTTAAGGTGAGAGGACACTAGCTCAATATTTTTCGCTATGATATGTTCCTTTTTGCCGCTTCAAAGCCTGGCGAAAAATCCCATCAGCAAAGCGAAAAATAAAGGCAAGTTTAAAACTAACGTTTTCAGTGTATTCCACATAGATAACTGGTCTCAGTGTACAAAATGGATTGCATTGCATTCACCACATACAATGAGTCATTTACTAACACACAATGTTATGCTTGCATGTACTTGTGTGCTGCAATCAAAATAAACAACCGGCGGATGCATGGCATGAATGGCATTTGCCCATATCGATTAACTACAATCGACACGCTTGAACAAATCGAGAACCCGGGCTGGGTCCCGTCCAGGGCAACCATATGGGTTGACCTGACCTGATCTGTGCATGTGTAGCTGCCGCAATGTGCCCACCGCCCAACCCAGTAGGCAGGCCTCTCAGCTCTACACAGCCCTACCGGCTGACCTGAGAGGTGGCGTGGCTCCAGTAGCTGCACGTACAGCAGCACGTCCTTCTCGTAGCTGTCTTCCTCGATTATCTGGATGTTGATATACTGCCTGCCAACCCGACAGGAAAGCTGAGTTATATAGTGCAAGGCGGCAGGCGAATGTAACATATTGGTTTGTAGACGTACAGCGACCCAACACACCATCGGGTGGCACCGCGCACGTGCCGCGCCCATGTCTGAGTTTCGAAACAGGGATCATCGTACATCTTTCGGACACACACGCATGATGCGGAATTAAACCTCTGGTGTGAAATATCGGGCAATGTAGAGGCGCCTTTTAAATGCGACTCAGCGCAAAACGCTCATACGGACACAGAACAGCCTGATTGGTAAGTTTGGCCAGTGGAAGTGGTCCGCACAGTCTAGGGGGAGGGAGTGGGGGGGGGGGGGGGGGGGGCAGGGCGGGAGGTTAACTGGTCCCAGCTTTCATCCATTTTCATCCGGTACATATGCTAATAATATCTCACGTGGGCTATGAATTAGCTATGACCGTGTAATTTGGGCCATCGATGCGCTAGGCTGGTAGCTTCGGTTCGCGGAAAGACGTATTAAAAAGTCACGCTCGATAGTTGTAATAAGCAATCATTCCTAATCAGGCTGTTAAGCTGGTTCGCTATTACAGTACCTCAGAACCACTCAGGCCTCGTGCACCTCAGGCGTACCATTCCATTCCGAACCTTTTTGAACGGCACTCGACACACGTGTGGTGAAGAATTGGTTTTGCTAGCACTGTTTGACAAGCTTCTGCCTAGCCTAACAAAAAGCTCGCGCAATGGTAGCGTCACCTCTCAGTGCCCGGCCACCGGTTTGCGTTCAGATAGCCGCTAAGTCCATATTCGTATCACCACCTCCCTTCCGACAGAAAGAGATTAAACGGAATGCCCCATATTTAAAGGTATTGATACAAGTATGATGTATGATGATTTAAGCTCACTTGTAACCTTTGGCGTACTTTTAAGTGCGAAAACACGCTCTAGACAACACAGTTTCACTCTTGAGTAAGTATTTTGTTCAATACGTCATCGTTCGATTGCGTCATGGAACGTTTGTATGACGTCAGGGTCGTTGCCGGCCTGGCCTAGCGAAATTGTCACCGTAACGGATGAGCTGACTCACTTGTAGTGCTTCAACTCGTCGAAAGGTGGCTTGCAAATCGGCGCGCGTTTACATGACACAAACATTGTGGTGTATTCGTGTTTTGGCCCTTTCCCATGTTTCTTGTACGAAAATGGTTCGGATTCCCGGTTGACCTCATGATTTGGTGATTCGTGTTCGAAACTCGTTCTGAACGCCTTACATCGGCCGAGGGCCAAGCAAATGCTGTTGATACTAGAAATCACACTTACATACGCCAGACACGAACAATTCGACGGTCATATCTTTCTCGACTTTGGGCACTGCATAGCCAACGAGGTGGCAGCCTTCACATGACGTCTTCATGGCGTCATGGGTGCCTGGGTTACCTTGAAAAAGTCCGCACGAAATAGTCTGCACCAGTTCGCGGACGTCAAGCTAAAAAACGAGAAGGTTGTAAGTCTTAAAAGGGCGTGGCTTACTGAATGACCTTCAGTATGACTATCTCCGTCCAACATAAATTCAGCAGCCCATGCAAATGCGGAACCGTGCTTTAAGACCGCAGATGTGAGCGGGTCTTTCACATGCATCCCACATACCAAGAGTTCCTTTCTGACTTCCTCTACATGGGCTGTAGCCCACCAGGAGGTCAGAAGAGTGAATCAGCTGCTCGTCTCTACTAACATTCTCATATTTACCGATGACGAGATCAAACCGCCTGTCTCCATTCCCTGAAGTCTGCAAAACTAACAGTGCCAGGGAGAACCTATACACTGTTCCACAACAGCATGATGCCACCAGAACAACAAACAGATTAAAAATATCCTTCAGTCATCAAGCGCAATCGAAAAAAAAACAGTCAAGGTCAAAGTGAACGTCTATGACAGGAGCCCTACAATTACCTCTTTGATGCTCAGGAACAATATGTCAAGCGGCCCTACTATTCTCACACAAACGTATATATGTACGTATGTGTGCATGTACCTATTGACGATTAAAATTAACCCCAAAATAAAATGGCCATTCCGAGTGTACAGTCGGAAGTTCAAGAATTGAGACACGCAAAAATGATCCTCGTCGTAACAATCGCACAGAGACCCATCAAAGGCAACAATAGAGAAAACATACCGAAGGTTAATACACACACACAGACATGACCGACAGAGACAGATACAAAAAATAGTTATATGTATATATATATATATATATATATATATATATATATATATATTTACGTTGGTGTAAGTGCGCACCTAATAATCTTCTAAACACTTGTTGTTGAAGACCTTGGCATACGTAATCTCAACATGCGGTCGGGTGGGGGTCGAACGGCCCCCGTAGGTTTTTCCGGAATGGTTTCCGGACGGCGGGGCGAAGCCGAGCGAAATTTTGCATACTTGTGGGCAATTAAATAGCGGATCTTTTGGCATCGTCACAATAGAATTACTTTGCAAGGTCACTGACCCATAGCAAATCAGAGTGTCACCGTGGCTTACAGGAAAGATCATTTCTAGGGAATCGTTCAATCTGACGCGAAAACGGAGTGTTAAACAAAGCCATATATCTATGAAACAGTTTTCCAGGCAATACACCATTAAATTTAAAATTTCACCAAATTCCATTGACCTAGGGTCAGGTATGAAGGTCAGACCGAAGTCAAACCAGCCTGTTTTTATACTAGAAATATTGCTGTATGGGATTGTTTCTGGTGCTCATTTTGCATTTATTCATGACAGGGACCACAACAAACATGATTCATGCGATTCTCAAAGATCAGAGTGTATCACTGATCTAAAATGCCCCGGGTCAGCAATCCAATTTTAAGAGCATACCGCCAAGCGTAATTCCTGGTGGTTATTCAAATTCCAAAATAGAATAAATCTCGTAAGCTTTTGGTCACCTTGACCATCTTCACGTCACAAAGGGCCACTGACGTTAAAAAACAGTGACCATTTGCTTAAAATAGGTATGTTGGTTAAAGGCGGTTACATGAAATAGTCTAGGGCGTGAACGCCAATATGGAGCTTGATATCGCTTAACCTTATCTGACGCGAAGGTCAACTATGAACCTTAAATCTTGACAAAAGTGTGTTTACATTTAGGCTAATCCACCAAGTGAATTTGATGTCTAGCTCACTTGACTTTGAGATCTAAGGGGGTCAAATTGACCCCAAACCCAGTGAAGGGCATTCAGTCAACTAACCGGGCGCGTGTCAATGACGTTTTGTTTTTAACTCTTGCCCAAAATTTCGCATTACGACCTTCGATTGCTCATTGCGGATAAAAGCAGCCGGCAAACGTTTGGCATCCATAAGTTGGCTTGATGTTTCGAAATCATACGTTCTATTCTCAAAGGCACATACACACACGCAAACAACATACATGAACGAAGATTGCTCACAGAAAAAGCGCCTAGGTGTAACTAGAGTAAGTTTGATCGTAAGCAAACTCTAAATGGGGCAGTTAACAATTATGCTGGCACAAATGTTCGAGCGGCAAAACATGCGCGGGCCAAACCTTTCAGACCGATGAGCCTACGCGGGCCATTCACGCCTTAACACGGTACTGAGGTCAATCGTCCAGGATTGGCGGCTCAGGAGCACTCCAAGTCATTTTTTGCACCGCTGTAAGCCGAGTGCCAGATTTTCACAACTGTTGCGAGGGAAACCCGGACCGCAAAATCCCCTCCCCCCTACCCTAACGCGGCAGTTCCCGCGCCTCTGCCATCAAAGATCAGTATCAAGTTCCCAAGCAGAGAAAACCTCGCAGTTAATCGGCACCTACGCTAAGTACACGCTGGCATCTGTTTTTATTGGCAGTCAGATTATACATCTGCTCTTAAGGTCTTGATGGGCACAAACCTGTATTGCCGATTTTGCAACTGAATGCAGTGGCCAGGTGGCATAGGGTGAGCTTGGGAGAAATCCGGACTGATGCATGTGAGCCAATTGCGCTTAATAACCACCGGGTCTTTGCCAGTCATGGCATATCCTCTTGGGAGATTGGGGCGGGGGGGGGGGAAGGGGCATCTTAACCTTGCTCATCCTCACGAAGCGTAACACGATTAACGTCAACGTTTTTTATAGGGATGGTGGTGGGTACCCCTGCTAATCTTTCATTGTTTCTGTCTCTCGTACACACCATTTGAAAAGCCCCTTGAACGGGGGCACACCCATAATTTTCTTAAAGGAGTATTCAAGATAATTCGGTGCAGTTCATAGCCCGACCCTTCTTAAGATCTAAAACCTTATACACGTCCCCAAAAATGAGCACACTATTTCGTGCAAACTATTTCAAGATTACCTAGGCATCGATGACGCCATATTAATGGGATTCAATTCCTGCCGTTCCAACGGCCCTGTGGCAAGTCGAAAAATATAATTGTCGAGTCGTCCATATCTGGCGTGCGTGAGCACAATTTCCAGAACTAACGGGCATCAACTGGCTTTTAACCAATGTTCCCCAAGCTATACACGATTATAAACACATTTTACGTTTAGCGTTACCCAAAACAAAATGCTATACATTCTTCCAATTATTACGTACATACGACTCGTAATCAAATCAATTAAATGTAACCGACCGAGAAACCGCTGTAACCAAATATGTGGATGCAAGTAAGCAACTTTAACTCACAAAAAATGTGCAAAAAAAAACACAAAGAGAAAGGGTCAAAACACCAGCGTCTAGCGATATTTGATCCAGCACACAATCAGCCACGCCGCCGGCCACCTCTCAGGAGGTTGAAGAGCTCCAAGTGAGTGCTGTGAAACAAACCTTCCATGATGCAATCAAGCAATGACATATTGATGAGCATATCTAATAAAAAGACAAATTCTGCTGTCGATAGCAGCCTTTTGCACTTAAAGCATACCAAAAGTTACAAGTCGGCTAATTTCACAATATCTCATGCTTCCTTTAACATCATACAATATGGAACATTCCCCTTAAAGGAGGTGCAGGGAGATCAGCCAG